ATTTTATGAGAAAAAACCCAAAGGAGGTTGATGATGACTGCGATAAGAATTTACCAACATCCGATGGGATTGATCTGGAGACAAATGGACTATCTTTAAAAGCTTTCGATATTGGCTACAACTTGGAATCAATGGAAGTAAATTCATCTCAAATTCTGTTTTCTATAGCACAGTAAATTTTCAAGTGATTTTCAAAAACCATCGCCTAAGGTCTATATCAGCACCCGATTAAAATCCATATCTCCCAAACTTATAAATTTATGCAAACAAGTTCGTTTTTTTCAGTAAAATGGGAAACTATATTATCACATACAAACATTTCTGACAATAGTTTTGTATTTCGATTTTCTGGTTGGTGAACAAAAAAGAAATAATATAGCGACAACACTTTTATTATAAATTTTTTATTATTTCTATTTGGTTAATTAATTTCGATTTTATTAATCAGTAACTTCCTTTTACCAAATTGTTAGAAGCCTAAACTCAACAATTCGTCCTACTTTCATAATATCATTAAGTACGAAATTTTTCTGTTTGCCCTTCGCTGAAACCTGTTTAAAGCCCGATTTACATTCGTCGGAACTTTTTCACAATTCCTTCCAGATTTACAGAAAGTATCGATTGGATAGTACTGGTGATGGTGTTTTAATTGGCCTATCTGTTGCAGTCTCGTTATATTCAGATGAATTTCCCGGCATTGAAGTTACTAACATTCGGGCGAAAATTGCCAATAAACACTCATACGTAACTTGTTCTTACATTTTCACAAATGCGAATATATCTATTTATAAGAAACATGCTGCCCTCATTTGTAATGTGGCCAAAAACTCTGAACCTACTGATACAGACAAAGCGTTCGGAGATTTCAATTTACCACAAGTCACTTGGCGTTGTAGTGATAATTCTGACTGTATGATCCCCGCTTCAACATTCGACAAAGCTGTTGCGTTTTTCAATGATTTATTTGATAGTAAATTACTTCAATACAACCGTACTTCTAATTGTAGCGGTACACTGCTATATCTATGCTTTGCCAATTTCCCTGAGATCGCTGTACATGGCCGCCAACCTTATAGTTTACCTGAGAATCCGTATCATCCACCAGTTTGCATTTTCTTCCATTATGATGATGCGTTGAATTACTCTAACGTGCCAAATCCAACTTCCTCCAATAAACCTTATGATTTTAACGCAACCAATATTTTACTGGTTAATTCTCATCTTTCAAATATTGAAAATTTAGTGTCATCGTTTCATAATGTATTAAACCTAGATATTTCTACATCCGTTCAATTCAAGCACTTTCGCCAACGACGCAAATGGCCACCATGGTTTAATAAGAGAATTAAATATTACAAAAATTGGTAAAACAGACTCAAAAAAAAATAATGAAAAGTGGTTCTGCTTACGATTGTTTCGCTAATTCTGCTGCAAGCATTGCTTTACTTACCTAAATCATCAACGTTATTGCAGATATTTTCAGTTGACAAAATCCTCACTGCTTGTTAATCCTGACTATTTTTTTAAGTATGCCAACTCCAAAAGAAAAATTTTCACATTTCCCTCGCAGGGATCTTTTAATAGCTCTGGTAATATTGAAACCTCAAATCTTTTTGCTGAATACTTCCAACAAAATTTTTCAACTGCTGATTCCGATTCATCTATAGAATATTCGTATCCGATCCGATAAGTAGCTCAGAAAGTGATGTTTTAGTGATATTATTTCAAAGATATTTAATCAGTGCTTGAAATCAGGTGTTTTCCCTTTGTGTTGAAAGGATAGTTTCAATATTCCGTGGAAATAGACATCACGTTGATCACTATAGAGGCATTGCCAAGTTCAGTGTCTTACCTAAATTGTTTGAGTGAGTTGTTACCCAGCATTTAGCTTTTGCTATCAAACCTCCGACTTCTCCCTTCCAGCACGCACGGCTTCCGGAAGGGTGATCTACTGTCACGAAGCTCTTAGAGTTTACTTGATATGTTTTTAAGGCTCTTTCTAGAGGCTCTCGCAAGGATGTATACTGATTTTAGTAAAGCGTTTGGCTTGGTTAGCAATAACATATTGATATTCGAAGCCCATTCCTCTGGCTTCCCCTTGCACTTGGTGAAATGGATAAGACCTTATCTTCATAACAGATCATTCAGAGTCGGTTTACTTCATCAACTCGGATGGATTGCCCGTGACGGCTGGCGTTTCTCAAAGCTTTTATTTAATTTTTGCATTAATAATCCCCCCGTGATTAAATCGAGCCAGATGTTAATCTACGTTAACGTTGTTAAACTGTTTTTTCCCTTCTCCTTGGAATCGTATCATTTTCAAATTGACTTAAGTAATTTGGTTACATCGTGCTCGTTAAATTTTATGAAATTAAATATGAAAAAATACAAGAATGCTTTCTTTCTCAAGAAGGAAGTCATTCAATACCAGGTACTTCATTGACTCACGCAAGTTGGAAAACGAAGATCCGTTAATCGATTTAGGGCTTCTATTCGACCAAAGATTACGTTTTAATTTGCACATTGAGCTCTCTTTAAGCATAGCTACGTCCGCGCTTCGTTTCATTGAAAAGTGGTCGAAAGCCTTTAATGCTCCTTACATTAGAAAAAGGTTATACATGCACTTGGTTAGACCGATACTTGAGTATGTCTCTGTTGTAGGGGCTCCTTTCTACATGTTATGTAGACTCAACTGAATCCGTTCAAAAACATTTCTTGTTTTTAGGAATTTGGATTTTGACCCAGTCGTCTCTGTTCCTTTTTATAAAAACAAGTTATTTCTGCTATCCTTCCCGTTAATTGCGAGAGGAGGATTTATTTGATTCTTGGTGTTTCCTTCTCAATTAAGTTAATTAATGGTATTATGGATTCGTCCACAATTACTTCGTTACATAAGCTGTGATGTCTCTAACTGCTTCTTCATGCACTTTATTTTCATCAAGCTTAGCCATTGTAAACATAATTATGAGATGTTTAACTCGTTCAAAGTTTTTTGCAGAAACCTAAATGATCTCAACCACTTAATGTCAACAACGGATGCTTTAAAGGTTATCAAAACAACTTTGCTTAATATGCGTGATTTACCTATATCGTATTTAAACTAACTTGCCATCTTGATGAATTATGATTTGAAAATAACTGATGTTGATGCTTTTGCAGTTAGCAGTTAGCAATGGTCACTTGCAATTTGGATGCGTACCGGCTGTGCCTCTTCTTTCTTATTTATTTATACATGAATTATTATTTAATTGTTTGTATTATTTTTTCTTTTCTTTGCGTCTCCCTATATATTCTATATTTACTTTCAAGGGTCAATTGAATTCGATTGTTATTCTATTTGAGTTTCATGTGGAAATAATAAAATAAAATTTATTTCTTAACTGAACTAAATACATGCATATATTAAATGCGTAAATAATAAACATCCAAAATTATTCGTCTATTAATAGTTGATTTGTTTGGTTATTTCCCAAGAGTCAACTGTTATTTTTCCGAGTTTGACAGCCACGATTAAATATAAAGAAAAAATTTTCTTTTTTGTGCTTTTGGGTTGGTCGCGAACGAAAGTTAGCTTTCGGATACGTATTTACACCCAGAAAGTATAACAATTACAATTAAGTGTAAACATTATTTTTATTTTAACTGCTTATTAACACAGTTTATATTAATCCCAGCACAAGTGTCAAATTTTTGCTACTTTCAACCTTTAGTTTTCCACATCTGCAATTTTCTCATGGCTGTTCGGTAATCACAGAGTAACATTGTAAGTTAATTTTGAATGTTACGCATATATGTGTAATAATCATTTCTTAGCTCGAAATTGTGTAGTACGCTGTATTTGATGTGTCATATCATCAATATATTAGAGTGTATTAATAATGTGGAGTCCAAATATAATAAATTTTTACGCAAACCATTAGTCTTGTCATTGTTTTCCCATTTGCTTGCACTAATAGCGACGAATAACCAATGCTTGTCGTCACTGTTATTATTTCATCTTATGACAACAAGCAAAGCAATCTTTCCTAGTTAGCATATTAATTGTCAAAACCGACATTGTTTTGTTTATTTTTATTTAAACATCAGAAGCGACGTATTTGTACTCCATTTTTGACTCGCTTTTATTGTTTACTTTATCGACAACCTTTTGTTTCCTTAAAGATAGAAGACACAGCTGCTTATGCACGCTTCCGTCGTCATCAAAGCGAACCCCTTTATATTCTGTTAAAAATTTAAAAATATGCTATAAAATCAATTAGCATTTAATTTTCTAATTATATGAATATTGTGCTTCTAGGACATCCAGAAATTTTTAATTTTTTTTAGTTTAGAAAAGTTTTCAACCCACGCTGTTTACTTGAAATTTGATACATATATATTACACGCATGGATGATTTTTGGTTGCTTTAACATGAAATTCCCACGTAAGTGTCATTTTCAACCCAATTGAACTATGTTATCCCATTTCGAATTATTTTGGTTGCTAATTTTCTTTGAAAGAATACATATAATTGAATTAAAGTTAGACTTTGGTTTGAATTATGCATTTATAATTTTTGGTTTTCAACCTTTGACTTGCAAATCATTAGGTATGTAATTGTCGTTAGGTTGTGCGACGCGACTGTGCTAATGGTTGACGGGGTTTGTTTTGCATACCTTTGTATACAAAAAGAAAGTGTTATAATTATCAAATAGCTAAAGTTTCAATAAAAAATGAAATTAATTAATTAATTTGTGATATTGAAATTGTTACGTGCAGTAGTATTCGATGATACATAAAAGAAAAGCAATTCTATTATTGATTTTTTTTCGCCGTCAATATGTAGTAACTCTTTAAAAGAGTAAAACATTATTATTGAGAACTGTTGTGGAACTTAATCAGAGTAACAAAAGGCTCAAAAAAAATGTTGATTAGAAATTTTTTATTTCGCTCCAGCATTAATTATTATCTAACAATGCGTCGCTCCCCGCACTCTATTTTGTGACATCACTTATATGTGCGTAGCTACCGCAGGTTTCGCAGTCGCTTCAATTACAGCAAAAACAACCACATTTTTAAAAATTCATCAATTACTAAAGAAAACGAAACTTTATTGTCAAACGATCACTTTTACTGTTTCTTACTACAGTCCCCTCCATCCGTGGAGCAGCAACATCTAGCTGACGATGATATTCATCCGATTAATAACCAGCACATAACTATCGACATCGATGTGAGAACCGATCAAAATGAGAGCCCGATTGCGGTGCTCACGAACGAATGTGATGATCTTTCAAAGTGCTCTCCGAAAAGTCTCTCCAAACAAACATCATCTCTGAAGAATATTCCAGTTGCTTTTTCTTTCGTCTTGTATGCGGTTGGTGTCAGTTTTTTAGCGGTTGTAATATCATTAATTTGGTACTACATGAATTGGATTTTCGGCTTGCCAGCACTAGCTTTAGCGTTATTAGCTGTGTTTTTAACAAAGCCAGGTTGGAGATGGTTCTACATTGCCGGTGCGACGTCTAAGCGAGATCTAACGTAAGTATCTTTAAAATATTAGCTTTCGCAAATATACATTCTTGCCTGCGCATATAAAGGTACACTGCTTCTTACAATTTTTATGTTAAGTCATCGCGTTGAATTCCATAAGCATGCGGACGCAAGCGAATTGACAAACTGTTCGAGTTAGCTCGAAGAACCTTGAAGTCACTTAAACATGTTTGTATAATCGTTTGTTTGCTTTCATAAAGTGGCTACGAAACAAGTTTATAATAATATATACGTGAAAATTTATTCGTTACAACCGAAATCCTAGAGAATCATTCATGAAAAGTAAGTTTCTCCATGGCAAAGTAATTAATAAGACAATATGTTTATTTTTATATATGAAAATATACAAACAACATATGTGATTTTTCCTCAAGGATGGCGGATTCGTTAATGTCCGTATAATTTTCTTTTTCGTCTATCGATTTTTTGCAGAAAATTCACGGACCATTGAAATACTTATTGAAAAATATTATTGAAATACATTGAAAAACTTATTTTTGCTACATATACGTTATAACCGAATTTATTTGTTCTAGGTTTTAAAAGCATTAAATCATAGATGTGCGACATTTTGCGACATAAATTTTTTTTAATTTTTGTGTAAGTACATGGCAAACAGTTTAATGTGACCTACAGCTTTGATGCTGATTAATTTGAGCGTTCCTTTTTTATTCCCACTACAGAAGGAAGGCTAAATATTCATTTTGAAGAAGGGACAACCAGAAAGCAACTTCACTGTAATACAGCTTATATATTTTTGGTCAACATCAAATTTCGAATTGATCTGTGCATGTTTGTGTACCCATCTGCCCATTCCTGTAATGCTAGGAGCTAATATTCTTCCGGTCTTAAGGATGAAGATGTTGGCTGCAAAAGCTAGGGCCGTTTCCAGCCAGCATAGATTATCGATGTTTGTTTTTTCCGAGTCTTTTTAAGGTAAAGATAGTGAATATAGACGATTCTGCCGTAGCGTAACTTAACTTAATTTGCGTGCTTCTTATCATATCGCATCGCTACCTACCGTTTTAACATCCTGGCAAAGGGAGAAAGAGGAAATGCGTAATAGTCATCAGTAAAAGTAGATGTCAGATGCAAATATTACGGCGTAGTTTTAAAATGACTTCTTTCATCTCACAAGTTTCGGACCTTTTGAATACATATTTCATTTTTTGAACCTGCGTAGATAATTTATTTTGAGGATTATTTAATTTTTATTAAGTATATTCTTCGCAATTAATTACATTGATTGGTTTTTTAAACTTTGTAATTCAAGTTGCTAACTAACAATTTTGAATACATTATACGTTTTTGATTTCGCATTCGGTGATTCCAATTTACACTTCTTAGTTTCGGAAGACGTTATTTCACGCATAGAATTTTGTTAAGGCACTTCAACTAAGCTTCGAATTATGTAAGAACTCAATCATTTGGTTCAGAGTTTTTTCTCCGGCATCCTCGTAATAGTTCCAATTAGGTAATATTCGCCGAGGTGGAGAATATAGCGGGGGTAGAAGCAATTCAAAGTGCAATTCACAGAATTTTTTCGATGTAGCCATCAGGTAACACGTTCGCCTTTCTGTTAAACTGCGGATTAACGCGATACTCATTTGGATTTGAAACAGGGGAGCATTAAAAATTAATTTTCAATAATTCGTTATTATTTATCGATAATTTAATAAAATTTTTCCGCATATAGTACGGCTGCAGGTGTATTTTATGATCAAACCAGGTTTTTAAAAATTGCATGCATATTTTTCAATCGATTTTTGCTTTTATTTTTATTTCATCATTTGAAAAAAAAAATAGATTGGCTATAAGTTTTGATGAAAATTAAATTTGTGATCGTCATCATTATTATACTCTACAACACTGGTGCCACAACGACATATTAAGTATAGGCGGGCTCATGCAACAACCCGAATCACTTGAGATAGAAAAACTTTCAAACTGGTCTGTCCTTCTTCTTTTCTTATCTTCAAAGAACAATTGCTGATATATTTTGATGAGATTTTCACACTTTGACGTGGTCCAGGATGAACGCTATGGAAAATGTTTTGTATCGGATCACTTTGTCAACCGTTTCCATGCAGCACATTAATTCGAAAAATCATCGTAAGAAAAACTGAAGAATCGCGTAGGCTTTGGCCGACTATAGTGTTTTTACTTATTTTTTGAGAATATTTTTAATTTTGGTATTCAATCACAATGTTGCATCTCTTAATTTGATTTTTTAAAAACGTGAAGTTAATTTGCATTTGGCATGAGGTTTAAGTTATCATAAAATTTTATATCTTAATTTCGGTTTCGGTGCAACACGGTGCACACTGCTTATATCTCAATTTAAGTTATATTATTCTGTATTAAATGTCGAATCAGTTGTGTGCAAGGCGGCTTCTGTACCAGGCTTTATAAAAAGCTGGTCAAAAGATTTTGACGACTCTTATGTAACGAAAAGACTACATATTGTTGGCGAGACCCTGAACTGGATATGTGTGCATCACTTGGTCTCCCAACTGCAATTATTACGTTGAAATGACCGAGGCAATTCAAAAACTATTTCTCCTATTTGGAGTGGGATGCTATGCTATATTACCTCTGTGTGTACATCGTTTACTTGCAATCAACTTACCTAGTCCCGTGCAAAGAAGATTGAATCTTGGAAGAGCCTTTTTAATAAAACTTAGTCAAGGTGATATTTCATCACTATTCTTGCTCAGTAGGCTAGATTGCAATGTTCCTTCAAGAGTTTCGAGGATTTTCTTTTCCCTTCGGTTTTACGCAAGTAGTTTAATAATTTTTATTATTTATTCTCGGTAGACGGTTCAAGCGATTATATCAAATCGCTGTTGCTTAACGCACACATCTAGACAGCTGCTCAAGATGTGCTAGATCGATATTCGACACTCATGATTCCAACCACTTTATTTAAACTGCAAATAGATTGCTTATATTTTGTAAGCTTGTCGATACTTTATGAATTAGTTCCCATCGGGATGTAAACTGGTCCTCTTAGGGGCCAAGTCTCTTATTAGACTAAGTTTTACATTTTACTGTATGAAGCACTGTGATCTAGTGTTAATATGAATGTCGTTTAGGTGCCAATTAGTTCTCACTCAATGCTTTATTTAGCTCTCAAACATTATGTTAGATAAATTATATATTTATATAATGAATTGAACGTCATCTACATTGAAATTAACTTCTAGACAAAGTATTGTCACTGTATTGCGGGTATTTCACCGTCTTTTTAGGTTTTATAAAATTTAGTATATTTGTATATTCTTATATATTTATATTTTTAGTTTCGTGTAAAACGGTTCCCATGCAGCACGGTACTTATTAACCGTCTTGAACGTATGTCAGTTATATAGGCGGATATGGAAGTTTTCTGTCTTTTTTTTTTTGCACTTACATATGTCCACACCTTACAGTTACGTTGCATTAAATATTTTCAGCATATATTTTCAATTAAGTTCACTGCTGTTGTTATGGCTGAGAAAAACGTCTTAAATATTTATTTTGAATCTATTTTTCGGCACAATATCAGATTTCTAGCAGAAGGACGCAGTTTCAAACAATAGGAACTAGCAGGAAGAATGAATGAACAGGTGACATCGCTTAACCGGCTTAAAATTTTTTACCGATCAAGACTATGTATATCTTAAGAAGCATCCTGTGCGTTATTCTCACTGTTCCACACACGAAAATTGACATAGATAGAAAGTGAAACAACTTCAAGAACAAAAATGTAAATCTCAAACATGTTACCGTCGTATCAGTTCAATAAAGTTGACATGAGAACGGATCAAAAAACACGGAAAAATGCCAAAATTTATTTAATATGATCTTTACTTATTTATTTTGTCACGACTCAAATCAAGGGAAGTGCACGCATATACCTGGCTATTAGTTTTTACGGTATTACGTTGCTTATTACATGCATATTGTGTTTATATTATTTTATTCGTCTACGTGCGCGACATATTAATGATACGGATCGATTTCAATGTCAAGGTAATCTAAACCTGAACAAAGAGTGAATGTCTGCGTCATTTGTACAAAACTCATTGAGTATTGCAAACGCATTTATATAATATAACAATTGTGCTTTTTTTCGTTTTAAAGCTTATTGGATTATAATTTGGAGGTGAACAGCAGTTCGGTCTAAGTATTTAAGCAAACAACAGCAGGAAACTATTTCAAATAAACAGAAATGGTATTTGAATAAAATAGTTTAATAAACGTAATTTATATAACTTGTTTTGGAGAAGTCAGATTTCATGTAACCACTTCAATATACCTCAGTTGCATACATGTATGAATATATCTATATGGACATAAGCTTTTATTTAACAGCTGTAAAAAGCTAGAACAAGATTGGCACCAACTGCACCGCTTCAAAAGATCATGAAACCGGTTATTGAATACTTTGCTATAAAATTCTACTATTTCCACTCCATCTCTGTCATTACTTGTGCCAGGTTCTCAGTCAGAACTAAATCAAATCATATTAAAATATTTATATTTATACCTTGCATCACTTGCAGTGAGAATATGGTAACAATGTAAGGATGTGTGCAATACCCAAAACGCCTTGGGATAAGTCCGTCTTTCGCTGTACCATTCGTCTAAATTACTAATTTAATTTTAAATTGTCCGGTAACATGTTCGAAACATTTATCGTAAGAAATGTTCATAAACTTCACTATCGATATTTCAAGATTGTATGGGATACCTCGGTTGTAGTTTGAATGTAGTGTGATGAGTTTTGATACAAGTTCAGAAAATGTATTAATCGAATATGCAATAGAACTCTGCACGCGAATCAAAACCCAGAATAGAAAATTGCGGAGGTGTAGTCGGCTCTAGCGGATTGCATGTTTAATGTGGTCGGCCATATAATAATAAATTTTTAAAGAGAATTCTAATGTTTACGATAGATGACACATTTCTTAATTGGAAAAAAAATATCAGCATGGACTGAAACA